AGCTTCACACGGAAGCTGACCGGGCTAGAAGCCGTATCAGAACCGACGGCCTGGAGGATGCGGCATGGACCAAAGAAGCGACGTCGAAACTTCCGAAGCGTATCCGCTTCGAGCTGTAAGTGGCGGGCGTCGATAAGCACATCATCACCGACTTTGAATGGATGATTCATCCTCGATCGGTTCGCACGTGCTGCCATGCGAGTCTGGGAAGCGGCTATGTGCTCATGTGCGGTCTCCATGATCGACGTCATGTGTGCAACCCAATCATCCAGCGCGGGACAACTCACGTCGGGGTGCATTTGTGACGGTCGAAGGAAGTCCGTGGGAACACGAGGGTGATAGCCGAGGTCGCAATAGTAAGGCGACATCCCCGTGGCTGSCGAGACGGCGCGGTTGTAGGCTATCTCCGCGTGGGCAAGATGGAGGTCCCACTGCTGGTCGTCACGAACAATCTTTYGGAKAATATCTCCGAGAGTCCTGTTCGTGATCTCGGTCTGACCATCAGTCTGAGGATGGTAAGACGAGGAGAAGCGGAGCTGAGTGCCGTATACCTCGTGGAGCCGTCGCCAGAATCGGCTGGTAAAGCGCGGGTCACGGTCAGATATGATGCTGAGAGGTAAGTCGTGGTCGCGCACGACTTGGTCAAACACGATGTCAGCGACCTCACGTGCACTGATAGCATAGCGGCACGGAACAAAGCGTGCACGCTTCGTGAAGCGGTCGACGACGACCAGGATAGCATCATGACCGCGGGGGGTCGGAGGTCGAAGAGGACCGATAAAGTCCATCGAGATGGACTGCCAACGACCCTCAGGGATAGGAAGAGGCTGGAGCAAACCATAAGGTAGGTGGTTCGCACTGTTCACCTCCTGACAGGTGGGACACTCTGCGACGTAGTCCTTCACAAAGTCCTTGCGCTTCGGCCAGACGTACAGAAAGTCCTTGCGCTTCGGCCAGACGTACAGTCGGCTCACACGAGCCAACGTCTTGTGGAAGCCCATATGACCGGCGGCTGCCTGGTCATGGAACTCTGCTACTGCTCGGACACGTAGCTGTCCAGTGGAGAGAACGCAAATACGGGGCGTCCTCGGCGATGGTAGGAGAATAGTCAATAGAAGGCTCGTCAGTAGCTGGACGAGTAGGCGTCAGTCGGGAAGCGGTGGTAGGGGTAGGTGGTGGGAAGCGAGGGATACGAGGATGAGAGGAATCATGAGAGGAGGGGAAGACCTGAGAAAGCACTGCTCCTACAGCAAAGTCTGACGCATCGGTGGTAAGGATAAAAGGGCGATCGAAATGGGGTAGGTGAAGAACCGGTGCGCATGTCACCGCCTTCTTGAGGGCGCGGAAGGCGTCCTCGTGGAGGGGTGTCCAAGCCCAGGGTGGGTTCTTCCGGAGGAGGGTGGAGGTAAGGACGTAGGAATACCTAGTGTATCCCCGGATGAAATTACTATAGTAGCTGGTCAGGCCTAGGAAGCTGCGAAGTTGCTTGGCGGATGTGGGGGCTGGCCACTCCGCAATAGCAGTGATCTTCGCGTCGTCCATGTGGAGACCCTGGTCAGACAAGTAGTGTCCTAAGAAATCCACTTTGTGCTGGGCAAAGCGGCACTTGCTCAACTTGGCGTAGAAGCCATGTCTGCGCAAGCGGTCAAGGACGTCACGGAGGTGTCTGAGGTTCTCCTCAAGGGTACGACTATAGACCAGGATATCGTCGAGGTAGACGAGAACGTACTGCTCCAGGATGTCCTTGAAGATGTCGTTCATCGCCCTCTGGAAGGTAGCGGGTGCGTTGGTGAGGCCGAATGGCATCACCGTGAACTCGTAGTGGCCGAATCGCGATCGGAACGCGGTCTTCGACTGGTCGGCTGCAGCGACGCGGATCTGATGGTAACCACTACGAAGATCGATCTTCGTAAAGAAGTGGTTGCCTGCTAGGCGGTCGAACAACTTATCGGAACGAGGCATGGGGTAGCTGTTCTTAACCGTGTAGCGGTTGAGACCGTGGTAGTCGATGCAGAGACGAAGAGTTCCATCCGCTTTGCGAGCAAAGAGGACGGGTGCACCCCACGGGGAGTTGCTGGGTTTAATGAAACCCAGTCTCAGGAGCTCCTCAAGCTGACGCTTGAGTTCGGTGGCCTCGGGGATCAAGAGTCTATAGGGTGCCTGGTGGTGAACACGATAGTCAGGCACAAGCTGAATGGAGTGCTCGACGTCACGCATCGGTGGGATGCCGGCGTACGAGAACGACGATGGGAAAACGTCGTGGTACTCTCGGATGAGGTCACGAACTGCGGGCTCCAGGTCAGCCGTATAGCGTGCGAGCTCCTCAGCGTCAGCGTCAGCGCGCGACGGCGGAGTGGACTCGACGGATGGCGGAGGGACGGAAGTAGAGATGGGAGCCATGGAGATAGAAGGAGGATTTGGCTCCAGAGGGATGAGCTCGGCGTCGGGACAGGGTGGATCATAGTGTAAGAGATCCGTCACGTCCACCATAAAGAAGGTGACGTCGTCCTGTCGGATGAAGTGGGCGAACTGCCGAGGCGAGGTGACAGTGATGGAAGGAGATGGTGTGGGCACGGAAGGATCTGGGAGAGGAGGATTGGGGCGTGGTGTCGCAGTGGTACCTATGAAAGGTACGCGATACGTCTGTCCACACTTCGTTTTGAGAACGAGAGTGTT